ACAAGTGCAGATCTGATATCCTGTATTGTCAGGAATTAGAATGGAGGTAGGAGTCAGAGAGGTGTGAATAGTTTAAAATCAGTAGAGAATAGAAAACATGGACATTGGTGTGCCAGGGGAGATGGGAAAAGAGAATGCTATGAAAATTGTATCTGTCGAAGAGGTATTTGCACTGAAAGGTTAAATAAACAGAGTGACAATGTGTAGATAATCTCATGAAGTATTTACATATCACTAAGCATGTAAGTGTGCTAAACTTGAGAAGGGAAAAAAGAAAGGAAATAATAAGGCAGATGCATATATAATAAAATGCTGCAATATGATGTAATAAAGGATGTGCTCCAATCCTCTGGAACTGTCACGGTCTGCGACCGGGGAACACAAAATGACAAAGAGTAGCGTGCAAAAAATGGTGTCTGGGATGAAAACACAGGAAGTAGGTGTCTGTGCGTTAACGGGGCCACACGAGAGGCGCAGGTTCTAAGAAGGGCCAGGTGTTCGACAGAGCCTCTGATGGTGAGGATGATTGGCTGCTGGACACCTTCCAGGTTGCGGCCCTTTAGCACACCGACACATACATAAAGGTTAGTTGCAGCACCAAGGTGCAAGATGCAACAGCAGGCAGGGTTGAAGCCTATACACAGACACACAAGTAAGCACAGGTGCAAGGACTCACTGAAGAAGCTGATGATCAATCCACTGCAGGATGTACAGGATCTCACTGTGAGGAAGAGGGAATCCAGACACACAGGGAATAAGGTAGGGGGTAGCAACCGCAGGGATTACAAAGGCAAGCGATAAACAGGAAGTCCGACTTTTAATGGAGAGGTTCAGAGTGGATTGGCAGGAAGCCAAGCAGCTCAGACAGGAAGTAAAACCCGGCGCCGGATCATCTCACAGGCAAATGTGACCGGAACTCCCTACCCCAACCTGTACAGCTATCACCTATCCAGTTTGCTTGCCTTCAGTCTATCCCTGAAAACGTATCTCTTCAGGGAAGCCAATTCCACCTTTACCTAACAACTGATTTTTTACTTTCTCATGCAACTTATTGGCTTATAGATATCTTTTTTTATCACTCGGCCTTCCCCTTTAGATTGTAAACTCTCATGAGCAGGGCCCTCCTAGCCCTGTTGAATTGAAATGTATTGTAACTGTACTGTCTCCCTTTACATTTATTTACATTTATTATTATTATTATTCTACGTCTTCCGTCAAACAAGCAGGCTTGAAAACCTGCCGAGAATCGTACGATTCTCGCCGGGTTAGTGGCCTGCTGGTTCGACAACTGCCGAACGGGCCCGTTTGCAGTGATGGGAAGCCTGCCCCTCACTGCGGTCATCAGAAGCCCGCCCCTATGCGGGGCGGGCTTTTGATGATCGCAAGTGCAATCTGCCTGTCCAAGATGGGCAGATCATACAAGCTTTTAATAAGCTTACGACCATCGCAAGACAAAAGTCTTGCGATGGTCGTAAGGTGTATGGGCACCTTTTAGTTTGGTCTAAACATGCTTTGAGCATAATGGAGTTTGATTTTTGTCACATGGTTTTAATTTTTAGGATTGACACACTGAACTATAGTAGTCTATTTAAGATGCTTCCTGTGACATTTGTGCTATTACAGATTATTAGGCCCTGTCTAATTCAGGTTTTTGATCTGATATGACATTTGATTGTATTATCACATTAAATGTCTCTTTAAATCTCAAATTGAATATGTTCTATGATGTTTACTTGTACTTTTAAAGTAATTACACTGGTATTCATTTTAATGTGTGTGTGTGTGTGTATTTATATTCTTACCTATGATTATACTTTTTTGTAGAACTAATGAAGGTGGAGTGGTGTAGCCCCCAAAAATGTGCTGGCTGATTTATATTGAGCCATTTAAGTGATTTAGATACTCTTACCATTTAGTCTGGTGCTCAATTTGATTATTTATGCTTCCTGGGAACCCATCATAAGGTAGTCCTGTTTTATAGCCATCCAAATCACATTTAGAATGTAGCTGGGAGTCAGCTGAATGCAAGTAAACTGACTGAGACAGTTTACAGAGGTGAGCTGCCACGGGCGTACTACGTACATCCGTGACAGCGAAAAGGTTGAAGCCATGAAGTGAACGAAAATATCATTAAAGTACTTGTAAACCTTAAATGAATGATATTGTGTTTGCTAAACAACTGTTCTGTGTAATAAACAATTGCAATTTAAAATACTTGTTTTTACCTTTTTAATCTATTTTTGCATCTCAGTGTTGCTGGTCATTTGCAACCTTTTTGCAGCCACATCCTGTCTACATGCATACACTACAATGATTGTTGCATGGCTTTTCCCAGGGTAGGTTTCCTGATTGTGACAACAGTGCACCATATCTGAGTAATGTGTGCTAAAATGACCACTTGTAGTCTCCACTGGAAGCCTATGTGTTACAGTGACCATACGGGAGCACAATTGAGAGACAAGGTTATCACCATATTTCATGAACTGCCTGAACAAGGACCTGTATGGCTTGCTTAAATTGCTTTTAAAATACATTGTCATGTTAAAGGAGAACTATGGGGTTAAGGCTTTTCCCCATAGTTCTCCTTAGGGTAACGGGAGGACACAAACTAGCATCCTCCCGTCACCCTAAGCTCAGTATACCGTGAGCTGCAGCTCGCGGTATACTGAGACGCCACAGTACACCGCGAGCTACTGCTCGCGGTATACTGAGACTAGAGATGTCCAGTTCATGAACGAATCATTCTTTTGAATCGATTCTATTCAGTGAACTGGTGGAGTCGATTCAGCTGAGTGAGCTGATCCGTTTGAAGCAGCTCAGTGTGACGTGCCAGTGTGTGACGTATAGCAGAGACTCTAGCCGGTCTTGTAACATGATCCTGGAGTGAAAGCCAGGCGTCTTCCAGCCCCTCCCAGCCCCTCCTCCCAGCCCACCCCTGCAACCAATCACATCTCTGAGTCACAGTATACAGAGTCTAAGAATCGAATGAGTCTACTTAGTTAGTAGACTCATTCGATTCTTTGAGTTAAAGAATACTGAGTCATCAGAGGAGTTACTGAGTTAAAAGAATGGTGAGTCCCCACCAGTAGAACAATACACTGACTCAATGAGCAGGTTGCAGCAGTGATAAGGGATAGACAGCCAGGGACAGTCAGCAGGGAGATTTACACATTTACAAAAAAAAATAATACATTTTTTAAATAAACAATTTTTGGTTTAAGTTTTTATTTATGTTATTATTTTTCACTTAACATATTTTTTCACTTAAATTTATTGATAGCGTTAGGATCAATGTTCCCCAGGAGCTGCCTGACACCCTTCTCTGAATCAGAGTCCTCTGATTCGGATCTTCTATGAAGGTTCAGACAGCTCCTGAGCTTCGGTTCACTTGCTTGTCAGCCGACTCAGCAAGTGAATCGAAGATTCGATTCATGAATCGGTTCTTTTGAATGAACTGATTCAAATGAACCGATTCATTTAAAAGATCCAAACTTCCCATCTCTAACTGAGATGCCGCAGCTGAAGCGGATGCCAACAATTATGTCTGGATCCGCCCAGCTGCATGAGTGACAGCTGGATCTGCCTATCTAGAGGTAGAGCCAGCTGTACCCGCCCCCTCCCCCGTCCGGTCCGCCAGTCGGTGTTGGCAGATCGGAGCGGGGAGGGGGGAATCCAGACCCTCCCCTGTCACGGCAGAGAGCTGTGACAGGATCGAGAGGTGAGCGAACGCCGCTATGTGTTCGCTCACTTCTCGTTCTATTGAGTCACAGGTCGGCTAGAACTATGAGGTGAGTGAAAAGCACTCACCTCATAGTTCTCCTTTAAAGTTTACATGAGAGTTAAGTGATTATGTTTGAATATACATTAAGCTGGCAATACATGTAATTTTATAAGACAAAAAATCTTTGGCACTGGAATGGAACATCAAACTTTCTAGTTTTCTGGAAAAACTAGTTTCCTCTTGTTACAGTGTTTTTTTTTTAACCCAGTAATATATATCCAGCTCTATAACTCAGCAATGAGTAAAGTTCATGCGCCCTGCTGACTGGAGAACTCTAGCCCTCTTTCAGTGGTTCAGGCCACTGCAGAGAGACTACTGCTTCCACACATGCAGCATGCTGGCAGGGGAAATGCTTTTCTACTCAAGACGTGGCTACTTTCTAAAGGAAACAAGCTGTAAGACTTTGCTCACCTTTGGTGTTGATGCCCTGAAATGTATTTAGCTGAGTTTAACTTAAAGGTCAGTTGGGCTTATTCTTATCTAAAGTCACAAGAAAACCTAATTATATTTTTAACAACTAGGAACTAAGGGGTCTATTCACAAAGCTGCTGAAGGATCCAACCATAGATTTGGCTGATCCTTCGGCTAGCTTTAGGTTGCGGGAGCCCTTCGGTTCAGTCAAACCGAAGGGCTGCTGTACGGGCTATTCCGTATAGCCCGTACAGCTCCCGAAGGTGGCCGATCAGTTCAGCCGATCCAGATGTTGGATCGGCTGAGTCGAAGTTTTTCTGCACTTCGACTCAGCCGAACATGCCGATGTACAGCCGATGAACAGCCAATGTACGGCTGATTGCAATGAGCTGTAGTGAATACCTGAACTTTGTTTGGCTCACTTCACTACGGCTCGGTTATTCACTCGTCTGCCATCGGCAGCTTTGTGAATAACCCCGTAAGTCCTCCTTTGTGGAATAGGATCCACTGTAAATTATCTTTCCCACCTGGAAACTGTCACAATAAAAAATCAAATGGCACATTTATATGGACAGACTTTTTAGAGTAGAAAAATGACTAAGTGCTGCAGTCATGATTTACCATATTTTGTCATGAATTTTGTGCAATGATTTGAAATTTAAAGCTATTGACTCTCAGCAACCTACTATGAATTATCAATTATGTATTTATAGCACTATATTTATCAAAAAGTACATTCTCTTTTCTAACCTACATTGTGTTTTGTAAACATGGTGACGATTATGACAATGATCATTTCTATTTACAGGTAATTAAACAGGAAGGCTTTGGAAAAACATTGCGGGAATGCTCACTGTATGACCTCATGAAGTATGATGATTCAAATGGTGATAAACATTTGTCTCTGGATGAATTCTACAGAGCATTTAGTAAGTACTCAGAAAAACTGTTCCACATTTACTCTTAAAGTGAAGCTATGCAAGAGCTGAAGTGTATGTCAGGGCATAATAATTAAGAAACAAAATGTTCAATACATGGAAAAATACCTGTAGATCTGCAGGAAATCCATTGACCTCCTAACTTACTGTGCATGTTACGTGTTACGTTTCACAAAATCTCAGCCCTGCCCAGTTCATACACCCCCTAAGTTATGGAGATGAGGAGAGGAGGTATTCTACACTCCACACTTCTTGCCCTAGGCTGACAATGCTGACAATGCTGCATCTCCAGAGATACAGTACAGTGAGTAATAATTGTCATGCCAGGGCGGGGAGTGTTACTAGCAGTATCACCAGATGAAAATACAGGATAAAAAGCTGACGTTAGCTGCAGTATACTACATTTGTGTTCTAGGTCTAGAACTAGAAATTCAGGTTTATTCCTTATATATATATATATATTTAAGTCTAGGGCCATCAATCACTGATAACACTAAACTGATGAGCGGTAAAAACGTTTAAAGCGTCGCCTATGGCTAATTTTGGTTGCCGTCGTTTTCTGCGATGTCGCGGGTGCGCGCAATTTTAAAGCTTGACATGTTTGGTGTCTATTTAACCGACGTGACCCGATCTTTTATATTTGACCAAAAAACTGGGTAATAATAAATGTTTCCTAACATAATGTTAAAAAAAGTTTTTTTTTCAAAATTTTCAGTAATTTTTTCTAATTATAATAAAAAATAAAACCCCCAGTGGTGATTAAATACCACCAAAATAAAGCTCTATCTGTCCCTAAAAAATGGTGTAAAATTCATTTCAGTACAGCGTTGCATGACGGAATAAACATCAGTCAAAGTATCGCAGCGCTGAATACTGAAAAATGACCTGGCCAGGAAGGGTGTCTAAACACCTGGTCTTGAAGTGGTTAAACACTTTAACAACAGCTGCTCTTGAACATTTAACGAATTCTGCTGTTTTGCTGATACTCGCTCCATGGCTCCGAGCGCCAACAATCATCCCACGTTCAAAGGCTGTTAAATCGCGTTGTTTACCCATATCTTCAGAAAAAAAATCACTTCTACTGTCGTAGCTAATTTGCCTACAAACGTCAGGTGCTCATAATAATCTGGCCAGTGTATATACTCTGTGTTCTGATGATCATCTTGTGGAAGATTCTCATGATCTGACAGTCAAGAACACTCATTTGAATTCATAAAGAGAGGCACAGACAGACATACAGACAAACATACACATTCATTTTTCACAAAGATGCGCCACATTTGGCAGAATGTGCTGATTCTGTCACATCTTTGGTAGGACGCAGGTGGGTCATCACCAGTGTATTAGCAACCAATGATGGTGTGCAGACACTAGCATTTGGGCAACCAATGACACTTGGCCTTTGGTTGCTAAGACAATGTTGACCTTGACAAAAAGCATAATTGGTCACTAGGATTTAAGCCAGAGACACTGAGGGTTCAAATCACTCCAAAATGACCTAGGTCTCATTTAACACAATGTCCCTTATCTCTAAAAATGGCTGCATTTCTTTATGAATTTGTCACAGACATTGAAACATAATGTAAAAGTGTCACTATTAACAAATACCTCAATTTGTAGTATGCATTTCTAATATCTATCACACTATCCCACAGCTATTATGGCCCTAATGCAATAACAGTGTCTCAAACACTTTATAAAATTGCTGTGACTGTATTTTCAGACAGTGTCAGATTAGAACATTTACATTGCATACTTTGTATTTCTTTTATGCCGGAATAAAAAAAAAGTGTGTCTGTCTGTGTGTTTAAACCAGCAGCATATAAATGACTGTAAACACATAGAGGATTAACAGCTTGGAGACACAGACACACTAGAGATGTACTGTATCCATTGAGTTCTATTGTATTAACATTAAGACTACAATGCTATCCAAAGAATTTGCCCAGTATGCATACACATACAATATAACAGAATAATTTTAAACTCGTGTCAACAGTTAAACAACTAAAGCAGTAGTAGTGGCTGGAAGTTCCTCAAAGTTCCTTGTTTGGAACTTTCCTTACCCAATAAAGTGGACCTAGCATCATATATTGTATATGTTTTTCATATTATGTGGATGCATGTTTAGTAGTTTGTAAATGTAACAATTAAAGGGATTTATTACTTGTTGATCATGTAAATAATGGTACCTGTTCAGTTTTTGGCTGTGTTCGCAAATGTTACCACCTATTACTATGGGAGAGGAGACTAAAACAGGCCATATAGGAAAATTGAATTTTGGCGGTTTCCTAAAAAGGCCGAAATTTTATCTTTGGGTGGCCCTGCCCATACTACCCAGCTCAACAAACTTTGACTGAAAAATTGAAAGAGCAGAGTGGAACACTGGCTGAACCAGTTACAGTCACTGTTCAGGTATCCTGACAGTCATGGGCCCTGGTTGTCAAAATACAATATCTAGCAGGGGAGATCTCTCCATCTATCTGTGTATGGATAGCGTTAGTTGATTCCTCTTGCCTGCAGCAAATTGATGACATCATCTCATCCTAGACAAATTCACTTGTCTTTAGCCCAAGGACTGCCTTTTAACTATAAAGGTGGAGCTTTTTTAATAGAGTATGCTGTTATTTAAAAATAGCAGGAATTATTTATACAAATTTCTGAAGTTCCTGGAAGATCCATAAATGCAAAAATGGTATACAAATACTGTCCAAGAGGGATGGCGGTTTAGTTCTTGGGGTCCGCTCAATTTACAGGATAAAGAAGGATAAACTTGATAAGTATTGATATATTAATATAATTTCCCTATGTTTACTTAGACCATCATATAGTGTAACTATTTTCATACATATATTTCCTAACTAGCTGTGCATTATATAGTGTTTTTGTCGAGTAAAACAAAATAAGAATGCAATGGCTTAAATAGGAAATATATAGCCAACATCCAACAATTCTTTCAGAGCCTGGCAATGCAGAGCTCAGTCTATGTTTATTCACTGCCGGTAGCATCTTAAATGTCTGGGAACAAAAAATAGCGAACGCAATTCATATGTGGGTAGAAACAATAGCTCCTTTGCTACAGCGCCTTTGTAAATGCCATCAAATACACAGAAACTGGAAACAGAAATCCAGTGCTAAGTTGGCAAGCAAGACCTGTTATGTATGTGAAGATTCAAAGCATTCTGAAAATCTCAAATGTTGTTTTGCTGAAAAAAGAATAAACAATCAATTGAGATTTATATTACTTGGTTATCATTCTTTTGGGAAAGAAATGTAATAACTAGAAATAAACTTTCTTATGTTTAAATGAATGTATTGTGCTTAAAGTTGAGCTCTAGTAAGTTTAAAAAATAACAATTGGGTGGCCCATACCACCAGTCAGGGGCGGACTGACAACACATGGGGCCCCTGGGCAATACAAGATTATGGGGCCCCCTTGTGCTCTGCCCATATACAAGCCCCTCCCACACACCCCACCTGCATAGACATTCAAAATCTAGACCAATATAGGCAATTTGGAAAGTGAGCTAAATGGCAGAACGCATGGCAGAACTCAGACCAGAATCAATACACGGCACACATCAGGCCAGAACCAATACATGGCAGAACTCAGGCCGGAACCAATACACGACAGACTGGGCAGTTAGAATGACACATACACAGCGACATCTCTGGGATCAGCCATCACACATAGTCTGATCCCTGTGGGATGTCATCCACACACACACACGTTAATGGGCAGCTCTTTCCATGCCAGCACACTTGCTCTCCTTTAGCAGGTCCAGCAGGTAGATGGAAAAGGTGCAACAGATTACTCCATCTCCACTTAACTGTGTTCAGTGGCTACTCTAGGAACAATATATGGGGGGGCACATAAGATACCACAGTCAAATCTGGGGGGGGGGCACTAATAATTTTCATTGCGTGTTGCAACCGCTGGGTGCCGAGAGCTGATTTAATTGTGGATGGCATCTGCGCCCCGCGGTTGCGATATATCCAACGCCGCCCACAATCCTGAATCCTGCAACCGCCAGGTGCCGATGCCATCCGCAATTAAATCAGCTATCGGCGCCCGGTGCAGAATACAGCAGGGGCTTACTGGCAACTTTTAGCCAAGTGGCAAGTACAACCCAGAGGCCCATGGTGCCGCAACTTGGCCTCCCTCCCGCTCTGCCTCTTCCCCCGCCTTCTCCCCGTCCCTGCCTGCCACTATTGCCATCCATGTAACAGTAGTGTGAATGGTCGGGTGATGTGAGGGCTCAATAGTAAGTCCATGAAAGGGGTGACATGCTGGGGGATGGTGCTCTCCTCCCACTGGGCTCCCTACATGGTTCTGACCTTACTCCGCTCCTCCATGTCCGGTACTTGGACACTCTCACCCACTGTAGACCACCGCTGGCTGTCCATGCTTCTGAGCTGTGAGCTGTGGGAGGATAGTGGGAGGAGTCGGGCAGTGTCAAAGTCAGTGGTCCTATAATTTTTCTGGATCCGATACATTTTCTCGACTGTGTCACTTCCTGTGGGGCCGAGTCATCCGAATCAGCTGTTTTTATGACCCCCTTTCTTCATGACATGCTCTCCTGGAAGAGACACGGTAGAGACATTTATGGGTTTAGGAAAATTATAGCACACTGGTAGTGGAGGGATGCCTCGTCAGTGCTGTGCGCGTATATGACTGCTGCGACCCTGGTAGTTCTGCAACTAACTCCAAGCTGTAGAGGGACTACAAATCTCAACAATTACACAGCAATGCAGAATACCATCATCAGCTATAGAGGACTATAAATGTCAGACATACATTGTACAGCAATGAAGAATACCAACAGCTATAGAGAACTACAATTCCCAGCAATACATTACACAACAATGCAGAATACCATCAGCTATAGAGGACTATAAATGTCAGACATACATTGTACAGCAATGAAGAATACCAACAGCTATAGAGAACTACAAATCCCTGCAATACATATTACAGCAATGCAGAATAA